TCCTCAATCAAGAATCACCGCATTAATGAAAATTGATGATTTAACAAAAAGAATAGAAATTATTGAAGAAAGAATAAATCAAATAATTGATTCATAAATCATGACTCGTTGAGCCCGGGTCCTTAAAGTCCAAGGCACAAAGTGCCCAGGACTTAAAGTCCATCACTGAGTTCAAGGTTATATTCATCAAATATTTCATTATTAAATGCAACTTCTGCTAGTTTATTTATTTTTTCAATACGATCATTTGAAAGTCTATCGTTTAATTTTTTCTGAAGTTTTTCATTTTCTAGTTCTGAAACTTTATTTGGATGATATGTAAATTCATGAAATTCTTTTTCCTCAGTTTTGATCATTAATTTACAAAGAACTTTTGTGGTTGGAATTCGTTTGAACCATTTATCCTTAATATTTGTTATAAATTCAATATCTGGAATTAATTCCCAAATTTTTGCATTTTCAATTAATTTATTATCAAATGCAAAAGCAATGGGTTTAATATTAAACTTACCTTTATAATATAAACTTTCTATATAATCATCGAAATAAACATCTACTTGTTTAACATTTTCAAGAATTGGTGAAAGAGCATCCATTAATTGATTGACGGTTACGAATCTTGATCCACTCATTTATGTAAGAATAAAAAAATAAATTATTCATAAATGTCAGAAGAAAATATTTAAATAAATTATTTAAATTTTTTTACTCTATTCAAGAATTTTATTTTTGATATAACTCATTGAATTCAAATTTTTTAAAAAAATTGACACCATATTTGGAATCTATGCAAAAATATATTCTTTAATTAATGGTAATATAGGAATTGTAGGAATAAAAACTTTTTATAAATTATTCATAAATTTTTAAAATCTGCTATTCAGAAGTATGTTCAAAAATCATTCAATTATGTGAGAATTCTTACGATTACAAAAAAGGTCACACAACCCGCCCTCATATACTACTATATTTTGAATCTGTAAAAAACTTTGAAATTCATTTATTGATTGTACATTTGAGTTATACGTTGTTTGGTTATTCGAAATTTATAAAAGATTTCATTTTCGTTAATTTATGAATCAAAATATTGTAATAATGGAGAATTTCGTTTGAATTTCGTATTGAATGTAGATTGCAATTGTAATGTTGATAAAATGATGTATAATTTGCTTAATTTGAGAGAGTTTGTAATAATAATCGAGAAATATGAATTTTGAATGATTAAATAGAGACGAGTTCATCAATGTAATCTGTTTCGAATCAGTATTTGATGTTCCCGTTCTCAACTTTAGCTGTTAATGAATACGTTAGCAGCATTCAACCATATTCATTCACTATAAATGAAAAGAACAAGTAGTAATTGATGATATATGAAAGAGTTACATTGATCATTCTTGCTAATTCCTCATTATTTTTAAAATATTGACATTATTTTATATTTTCACTTAAAAATAAGTAAATTCATTACAACTTAACGTAAAAATAACTATTGAAATAGTAAAAACGTGATATAATGATGTGAAATTTCCAAATTTTTTTCAAAAAATAATAAATAAATTCAAAAATTGTTAAAAAATCTATGAAAATCATAAATCTAAAATTATTTTGGAATTTTTGAGTAAGTAGATCAAGTTTAATATTTGTATATAATGTTATTTCTGCGAAAATTTATGATTTTTCTCAAAAATTTGTAATCAATTTTGATAGATATTACCTTTTAAGATAAACAAACTTATATATCATAGCAAGTGACTAATTTTAAAGATAAATTCCCATATATATCTCTTATAAAATCAACAGCTTTATTCAAATTTTAAATTCTTGACAATTTTAGATGAATGATTGGCCAAAATTGTTAATTTATAACGTAACGCAATCATTACTGGTGAAGCATTCTGTCTAATAATCGATTTATTGATATTTCTTTGAAATATGAGACAAAAAATCGTTTTTTCACAAATTATGCATATACACACTCATAAACATTACTATTTAAATGATATACCACAGCTATTTACCTAATATCTTAATCAATTTATGCAATTGTGATTTAACTCGATTTATATCGAATTTTAATCATTGAATAGATTTAGATTTCCTTAATACAATTCAGATCATCCATTATATTAATGATATACTAAATATTTCATAATAATAAAAAAATTAAGAGAATTTTCACATTTTATTAATGTGAATCATCACCTTAAACTATGTATTTATTAAGGCCTCGTTGCAAACACAAATAATAATTGATAATATTTTTTATATTAAATACAATATATTTGGGCTAAACAACAGCGTTATTGTTATATTCTCGTATATGTTAGCACAAATAATATATTGTTATCTTATAAACACAATATTTTTTTTTAGAATTAAATAAGCATAATACTTTTTATGTATTAACACAATATCACAGTTACAAAACGTTAGTATTAGGCTATCTGATTATATGTGAAAATAGTGAGAAATATCATAATTTGTCTTGCAATCTTCTAATTAATCTCATAAAAAAGCATAACATAGTATTTTTATTATATAAATAGATTGCAAATAGTATGCTTTAGTAGTGCCTAAAAAGCCAAGGATCTAAAATAACTCTATGGTGGAGAATTATGCATTTGAATGTCTATCGTCGTGATCGGGACGATTATTTTCGAAATAGACCGAAAGACGATTATTTTTTTCGAAATAGACATTCTCCCATCAATAATTGGAATTTAAAGGGTAAATTCATAGGAAAAGATTGTTTCAGTGTATTTTATTAAGAATGATATCCGAAATCATAAGATAATAATCTCCATAATTTTTTTCAATTTAGCCATAAATTTAAATTCATGACCTCACCTGCAGATGCATATTAATCAGCAACATAATTATTATCAATTTTCCCCATAAAAAATTTGTCAAATCAATAAATGGAGAAACAACTTTTTTAAAAAGTGATTTATACATAGTTTTCCATGCATAAATGTTATTTGCTGATTGCAAAGCTCTTTGAATAGAAAGCCTTTCGTTACATTTTTTGTGAATGAAAAATTAGTTGTCTCTAATTATCTGTGCTAATGATAAATTAAGTTATATCCAATTTCAAGGTTAATATATATTTTCAATTAATGACCAATTGTCTTTACAATAATTCAGAAAGATTTACGGTTGAAAATATGATATAGTTTACAATTAACTATTGTCATTTCTAATGAATAAATTTTTATTTTTTAAATAACGTGTAAAATAATTTTGAGAGGGAAACAGATTAATAAAATTCAATATAGTTTTTAAATTCTAGGGTTGTTAAAAATATCAAAAATTAGCGTTTTGAAGACACCATGGTGTCTTATAATTTTCCCTTCCTTATTGGCGTGTAGAAATAAATGCGCCAATAGATTGAAGAAGAAGAATTGTTTTTCTCTTAATGAACTAAAAAAAAAAAAAAAAAAAAGGTAGTGGGGCCTCCAGGCACTTCGTGCCCTCTAGCCCTGAAGATGTTTAGTATAAAATGAAGTTTATATAAAATGAGGTTTTTTGGGGTATAGGGGGCTTCCCAGGGGCTGCGCCCCTTCTAGCCCATAAAATTTTTTGAGAGTCGTTGCTGTTGACTTTTTGAGATATAAAAATTGCTCACATTTGCTCACATTTTGGCACTTTTTTGTACGTTTGTCAAAAATTGTGAGAAAGATCTCACAAAAATAGTCAAAATGTGAGCAAATTTTGAGAAGTGCTCACATTTTGACATACGATTATTTTCATACGTTTTTTTGATGAATTCTAATAAAACTTCATTATCACTTTCAGAACGAAGCGTAACTTTTCAGCACGTAACGCTCTATCATGTGTAGTGACATATTATTCAAAAAAACTCAGATTGCTTATCTTATAATAACAATTTCATTAGAAAAAATGCACGATTTCACGCTAAAACTTTGAAGCAATTCTTAAATTCGGATAAAAAATCGATATGTATTACACTTTAAACTTCAAAAAATGGTTCAAAATTTAGACTTAGTTTATCTTAACAATATAGCAGATTTTAAGCCGAACAAGTAGGAGTAATAGAAATAGCTCTTGAAAATAATTACAATTAGTAATATGTAAGTCAAAGTTCGAGTATTCTAATAAATAAACGTTCCGGATTTTCTTTACTACAAGAATCAATACTTAATATATAGAAGCAACAGTAAAAACTTATTAGAGATTCAAAAAGAAAGTTGACTAAAGAGAATCTTTTTATATAAGTAATTTTTTTTTGAAATACGAGATCGAATAAACATGTATTTTATTTTATTACTATAATAATACGTTTTTACATAGTAAGAAAGTTTAGAGACTGAAATGAAATTAAAAATGAGAAAAAAATAAAGCTTTTCTATAAAAATTCATATTAATATATAGTATAATGATATTACAATTTATTGATAGTTGTGTTAGAAAAAAGGTACATTCACTATTTTTGACAAAATTTTAAATTTTCATGGGGTTGTAAATCTTATAATAACTAGATGAATAAGGAATAAATCCCAGTATGATGTAGTTATTTGTTGTTAATTCGAATGCGTTTAGAGGTAAACTTAGCTTGTGAGATATATATAAATAAAATGTTAATGCTTTAACCGCTCTTGGTGGAATGACATATAATTTTGTATCCTTATAAATAAATTTAATGTAGTTTTCCATTTTTGTCACTTTTTAAGATCTTACAAAATATAGTTGATTTTTATCACTATTGAAATAAGATAAATAATGTAAGGACTCTAATTTTGTTATAAATATGAATGAAAACAGTAAAATGGATAACTTAAATATATAAAAATAAATATTGGAACAAAGCTATAACAAATTTTCATTCTTATTTATAAATTGATAAACCAAAGTAATACATTTTATTACATTTCGTGTAACATATACTAATAAAAAAAAAAAGGTATTGGGGCTTCCAGGCACTTCGTGCCCTCTAGCCCCGAAGATGTTTAGTATAAAGCCGCTTTTTAACTTCACTTAAAATGCCACGTAAGCTACGTAAGAATATACGTAAGAGGAAGAGAGCATTGAAACATCCAATAGTAAGACTAACACCACAACAACAGTTGCAACAACAAATGCTGAATGACCCCACTATGTTGCAACAAATGTCAAGCAATCCTATGCTTTTAAACCGAGTTGTTGGTGCACAGAGTGGAGGTTTAAGAGCGGCACTTTTAGCGAAAATGGCAGGCTATGGTGGAGCTGCAGACGGAACAGCCTATAACCCTCAAAGTCAAATGAATTTGAGTTCACTCAAAAATCAAATAGCAGATGTCAAAAAGTCAAACATAGACATACAGAAGCAAATAAGTGAAAACGAAAAGAAACTAGAATATGACAGACACACAAAGAAACTCAATGAGTTAAACGTAGAGAAAAAGAAGAAAGAAGAACAACTGAAAGAACTAAGTACAGAGGAATATGCGAAAAAAGTGTCAGAAAAAGCAGCAGAAGTAGCAAAAATGGAACAAGATGTCATAAATTTGAAAAACCATACTACTCAATATAAAGTACTGAAAGATGAAGAGATAAAACAAAAAGCCCTGAAGACATATATGGATAGCGATGAGTATAAAAAAGAAGTTGAAGCAAATGTAAAGGCAGAAAAACTTTTACAGTTGCAAAACCAAACCGTACAGTATGAAAACTTAGCACAAGAAAGTAAAAATAACGACGCAGCCATGCAAAAGGCAATGAAAAGCGCAGAATATATAAAAGCTAACAATGACTGGTTAGATGCCCAAGCCAACGCTAAAGCAGCCCAACTTATAGGGTCAATAAGGACAAAAATACAAGCGGATGAAGACAGTTCAAATGAAGCTTTAACGAATACTGACTTTAAGAACGCCTTCGAAGCTCTTCATAGTAAGGTGAAACTAGTGAACGACTTCTCATCTGGAAAGAAACTGAAGTCTGAAGGTTTCGACAACGAGTTAAGAGAAGTAGCACAAAATATGACGAAAATAACAGATGCAGCAACGAGACAGGCAGTTCAAAGTGCCTATGACGCCGTTAGAGCAACTGTTGTGAAAAGTCAAGAAAAAGAGTTACAACAGACCAAAACAGACCTAGTAAATGCTTTCTTAAAAACGAAAAGTCAGGTAGGACATTACGCTGCAGATGGAACATATGTGCCAGCTGGTGGAACTTATATACCAGCTGGTGGAACTTATATACCAGCTGTTGGAATTTATATACCACCAAACCCTCCAAGAGAAGCACCTGCACCAGGACTACCTAAAACATTTACATCGTCACATGGACACAGACACAGGCATGCACCAAAACCAACACAACAACCAACAGTTCAAAATCCAGCACAACAACAACAACAACCAACACAACAACCAACACAACAACCAACAGTTCAAAATCCAGCACAACAACAACAACCAGCACAACAACCACCTCCACAACCAGCACAACAACCAACAGTTCAAAACCCTGCACAACAACCACAAACAGAGCAAGGACATAAAAGAAGTAGAGAACAAGGAAACCAAGAATTCTTAAAAATGCTTAAGGAAGAGTATGGTTACCCAGATAGTATTGACTTTAGTGACAGATATAAAGAAGCTATTAGAAAGTTCAAGGAAGGAAATATTGACCCGAACCTATTTAGCTTTATGGCTCTGCACCAAAGGGGATATAATCTCAAACCTGGAAAATACAAGCTCGCTAAGGGATATGATTTAATAGCATATCATCCAAATGACATGGATGAATTTACTCCGAGATATTTGATGTCAGAGCTAAATGACAATTTAACTCTCTTCATGAAACGCGTAAAAAATAGAGACGGAACGAAAGAAGAAAGGTTTGTGAGTCCGGATGACTTAGAAAGGGAACTTGTTGAAAACGGTCTCGGAATATATGAAATGCCAGCAGATGAGGTACAAGAAACTCCACAGGAAGAACTAGTTCAGATACAACCAGACATGGAAGAAATAGTTCAGCAACAACAGCTAGAAGAGCCTGAAGGAAACGAACAAGTCCCTCCTTTGGAAACTAACTTCACAGAACTAGATGAAGATTTGGAACAGCCGAAAAATCTTGACCCTCAACAAGTGTATGCGGAGAATATGGAATATTTCCAAGAGTCTAAAAAAAATTCAGCTGACATAGTAGAAGAATATCGAAAAATGTTTGCCGACATACAAAAGACTCCAACACCAGATGAAAATATTCAGCATAGAATGGAAGTACTGAAAGAAAATGTACACAAATACAACAACCCTTTTTACTTACGAGCATTTAACGTTCAATCTTCGGATGAACTCGGTGAAAATAAAAGGTTAAATTTCAACAAAACATATAGAAATGAAACATTGTTTAAAGTTCATTCAGAACCTAACCAAGATGGAAACAAACCTACTTTTGTTTCTGCAGACTATGGAACTACAATGAGATGGGGTCATAAAGCTAATCCGGATAGGTGGTTCATAAACTTACAACCACAATTCCAAGAAGTTGTAGACGCAATGGAAGTCAATGGTGAACCAGATATAGCTGGTATTTTAAGCGCGGCTTTAATGCCATTGAAAGATATGAAACATGCAGATATTTTGGACCAGTATGAAATGAACATGGCTGATGGAAATATAACACCTGACGTTCTAGAACATTTATCTCAAAGAACTACACAGAACCATAGAGATGGTATATTTGGTGAAGAGTTTAGAAAGAAAGTTAGGGAGGGAGAAGGAAGAGAACCTATTGTACATGACCTTGCAAACGAAAGTTTGCAAAATGTCATAAAAACTTACTTTGCAGACAATGAACTGAGAAGGGATGAATATTTAAGAAAACTCAAATGGACAGTACCAAATGAAATGTTAGTATTGAAAAACATGTTCCTTGACAAAATAAAACCAACTACAGAAATAAACGACGCAAGACTGAAAGATTGGGTAAAAGCTTTCCCATTCACAAAAGATATTGTTGGTAACATGGAAAGAAAACCAGAATGGCTACAAAAACATATATTTGGAAACGAGCATATTCCATATGGACAGGCACTGTTTGAAGAGCTTAAACCGGAAACTCAGGAAAGAGTCATACAAACAATACGCGAAGACTCAAATACAAACTATGACAAACTCTTTCTAGGATATAGGTTACCTGAGATGGGCGACCAGAGCCCAAAGGCAAAAAAGACATGGGAAATTTGCAACATACTAGATGAACATGAGGCAAAGATGCAACAACTTGAAGCAGAGGGCAAGTTACCAAAAGCGACACCAAAGAAGAAGAGAAGAGTAGAACAAAGTGAAAGTAGTGAAGAAGTAACTTCATCTAGTGAAAGTAGTGGCAATGAAAGAAAAAGAAGAGTTAAAAACTCAGTCAGGAAGAAAGTAAAGCTTGGTCCACGTGGGTTCTATTATGACATATAAATCCAACTATTCTATATTTTTACCCATATGAAATGTACGCCGCTCAGAATATAACGCCAACAGTTTTGGATGCTATGAACGGAAATGTTTCCGAATGGTATAACGAATGCGACAATGCCATTAGAAGGTCAGAAATAGTTCCTGGAACTTACGAATATACAACTGCTGTTCTTATGGAAACGTAGGTGAGTTTGGAGAAGGTTCTTCAACAACAGTAGATATTGCTTGCGACAGGTTTCATATTATTTCTATTGACAACTCTTTCTTATACGTGGAACAAGACATTGAAATAAAACCTTCTGCCAAGTTGTCTGACAAGAAAGGTTGCAATGGAATTTTCTATGTCGGATACCAATATGCTCCAGAAGTTTTCATGGGATATAAGATATATTCTAACTCTGACTTAGTTCAAACAGTAACATGGGCAAACTATGAATGGTTCGCTTTGAGAAACTCAGTACAACCACAAGCTAGAGAACAAACAGACCAGTATGCCACCATTGAGAAAATAAGAAGACTTGACCCTACCGTTCCAGGAGTTTATGTTAACCTTTCTGGTTCAGATGGAACTGCTGCCACTAAAGTAAAACTGAAACTTAGAGTTCCTTTGTCATCTTTCCTCATCTTCAGGTTTTTAAGATACTTGCCAAACTGGGCAGGAAAAATTTCTATCGAACTTACTCCAAGCAAAAATAACTTAGTCATTGCACCAACACAAGACCCATTCAGCATTGCTGTAGCTGGAACTGGTGGAGCCAAGTTCTGTGACTTTTGCAAAGACAAAGTTGACTTAGACTTTGGTTTCTCAAACTTCAACACTGAAGTAAACTATTATTTCAATGCTGCTGGAACTGCTTGGGACCCAGTTAAGTTCACATGCGAAAAATTTGAATGCAAGAGAATAGAAAGCAGACTTGCAGTTTATATGTTGGACCCAGATATTTCAAATGCTTTAGCTGCCAAATATATTGCAGTTCCACTTATGTTCCCTATACACCAAATATCTGTCAAAGACTTTGCAGGTGAAGTTGGAAACCAAAGTGCTGACCCAGGTGCAAGAACAGATATTGCTTTAACAACTGCAATGAAACATGCAGATACTATGTTTGTACTGTTCAGACGAACTATAAATGACTATTCTTGTTTCTACAACCCTGGTATTAAATATCATATAAACATAGATGGCAAATATTATCCAAGAGAAGAATATTCTACAGTTGAAGATATGAGGTCATACAACTTGACATTAGATGCTATGAACTTTAACAACAACTTCACAACAACCATTAACCCTGAAATGCAAAGTTCTATTATGCCATATGTGAAAGTATGGACTCATACAGGAGCTCAAAAAACTCAATATACAAATGGAGACCGTTCAAACTTTTGGCTTGGCATTCCATTTGCTGACTCAGAAGACTTTATGGGTGGTATTTCAACTGTTGGTACAGTTCAAATACAATATACTGGTGACAGAGACGGTCCAGATGAATTGAAAGCAAAGAAGTTTACAAAACCAATAGCACTTTTCACGGAAGATGCTCTTTTGAAGATTCGTTCGATGAAACCTGCTGGGGCTCCTCAGATTTGGTATAACGACAGCTTCCATCGAGCAGATTTTGGCAGCAGGTCAGTAAGTTGTTCTTGAACTGACTTCTCTCCGTCAAATATTGACAGTACGCCAGTTTTGACATAGTATTGTATTATAAACTTACCTTTAGAAATATCTGTAAGTTTTGTTGTTATATTTTTGTCTGCTTCAAGAACTTTCACCATTTCGGTTATACCAACTTTCTTTGCTTTATGAAAATATTTTGGTTCAGCAAAGACTGCTATTCTATAACATTTTCCATTGTTTGTATAAAGAACTATTCTATCAGTGTATTTGTATTGTTTGTGTGTGTAAACTTTGTTTTGCTTCAATTCGAAGAGATACTCAAATACGTCCATCTTTTTATTCTAAGTAAAATGTCATTTCCGAAAAATAGAAGCGTAAGTGTTTCAAAAGGTTTAATGGCGGTGGCAGATGTGAAGTTAAATTCACCAACTCAAACAAACAGTCAAAGTGTTGTTGTCAATGTCAAAGAAAGAGATGTTGAAGTGGGGAAACCATACGAAGACGAAGATGGTATAACAATAGTTCCTGTAAAAGAACAACCAACATATCCTGAAGTTAGCAGAGACTTAAGTTCTGTTGCAGATATTCGAAATGACTACCAACAACTTAAAGACAAACTTAAAACTCAGGAGAAGATTTGTCAAGCTTTAGGTGTAATGTTAAACTTGGTCGAACACAACCCCGTAAAAGTGAACTCATATGTCATTGCACCTCATGAAATTTTGAAAGAACTATTGAAACTTTTGACAGAGGCAGACGATATAAACATCAAAGAAATAGAACCCGACATTGCTTGCTGTGGTGTTTCATATAATGTCATTGACAAGATATACGTTATGAAAGGAGGTGAAACCTTGAACTTAAAATATAGTTTCCCAGACGTTATAAAAATATTTGACGACCACAACATTTCATTAAAATTTACTTGCTAAGTAAATGGCAGAAGACATAGTGGTTTATACTATTACGACTAAAAACCCTGAGTCATATAATTCTATAACAACAAACTTACAAAGTCCTCAAGGACGATATTGTAAACTGACCTTAAACACGATGACGACTAAAGCCTGTTTTGCTCTTTTGACACCAGAAGACTTTTGTTGTTGTGAATGGTAAAAATACTTCTTTGAAGATACTTACTCAGATATACCACCAACAGGTTTTGTTGACTTATTTAATACTTTAAGGACGGATGTAACATGTGCTGCAACTAGAGCAGGTTCATTATGTTTGGATGTCCGACTGAGTTTAGTATAAACGATATGAGCTATAATACAAAACTTATATCTGGTTTTTACTACCAACAGTTTCCTATAACAGGAAAAGGTGTCATACAAGGTCTATCTATTCCATTGACTTTAAGTACACCTATTTTATATATTGTTTCAAACTTAGGTTCAAAGTGCTATTCGAATGTCGACAGAAACTACTATGACCAAAAGATACTCATGCGTATAAACAACACTTTCTCTGCTGGTT